AGCACAGGGCATGAGCTGTTTGTAGTCTGCTTTCCTAAGGAGAGAATTTGTACCTTCCAAAAAAAGACTAAAACCAAAAAGTAAAACAGTGTTTTCTAAATGGAATTTATTTCCTCTTGAAAGAAAAAGCAACTGACTAAAGGTTTCCAATTCACAGTCGTGTTGGGAAACCATAAACACAGGGCCAGCCAAGAGACCTTGGAGTTAAGTACCACAGCGGCACCACATTTGTGGAGTGCCTGGGTGAGAGCAGAGCAGGTACTACCAGCTGCACCTGCACTGCTGCTGAGCGCCTTCTCAGCGCATAACCTCTTGGAGCGAGGCTGCACCGGGACCTGAAATGGGAAGCTCCCAGTGTAAGACATCTAAAATCACCAGCCCTTTCATTGTTCTCCCAGTGGCCTTACCTGAAGACCTTGATCACTTGAAGCAAAACAGCAGGAACTTCTATCTCATCAGGTTTTCGATCAGGATTCACATGGGTACAAGAGCAGTTGTTGGATTATGCCAAATTGTTTACAGTCTGAGAGAGTGTAATATTGGATCTTTTTCATCTGTACCTTAAAAAAACAATCTGAAGCCAGATAGAGAGCCCTAGAGGATGCAGCATGGCCATTGTGAGGAATGGGAACATCACAGAAAAACATTAAGTGTTAATTGCTGACACAGATGATATAGAGAAGGCTCTAGAGAGGGATCTGGAAGGCTCTACAGAGGGACCTGGACAAGCTGGATCAATGGGCCAAGACCAACTGTATAATGTTCAATAAGGCCAAGCGCTGGGTCCTACACTTGGGTCACAACACCACCAAGCAACACTACAGGCTTGGGGATGAGGGGCTGGAAAGCTGCCCAGCAGAAAAGGACCTGGGGGTGTTGGTTGACAGCTGGTGAACACAAGCCAGCAGAGTGCCCAGGCAGCCAAGAAGGCCAACGGCATCCTGGCCTGCATCAGAAATAGTGCGGCCAGCAGGAGCAGGGAAGTGATTGTCCTCCTGTACTCAGCACTGGTCAGGCTGCACCTCAAGTACTGTGTTCAGTTTTGGGTCCCTCACTACAAAAAAGACATTGAGGTGCTGGAGCATGTCCAGAGAAGGGTAAAGTTGCTGATGAAGGGTCTGGAGCACAAGTCCTGTGAGGAGCGGCTG